TCGTGGCCTTGGGTTTTTCCCAAGGTCGTGGCTTTGGGTTTTTCCCAAGGTCGTGGCTTTGGGTTTTTCCCAAGGTCGTGGCTTTGGGTTTTCCCAAGGTCGTGGCCTTGGGTTTTTCCCAAGGTCGTGGCTTTGGGTTTTCCCAAGGTCGTGACCTTGGGTTTTCCCAAGGTCGTGACCTTGGGTTTCCCCAAGGTCGTGGTTTTGGGTTTTTCCCAATGTCGTGGCTTTGGGTTTTCCCAAGGTCGTAGTCTTGGGGTTTTTCCCAAGATCATGGTTTTGAGGTTTTTCCAAGATCGTGACTTTGGTACAGGATCATGGTCTTGGATCCTGGGGCAGGGTTGTGATTATGGATTCTGGATCAAGGTCGTGGTCTTGGATGCTGAGTTGAGATTGTGTGATTTGGATTCTGGGATTTGAGTTTGGACTAAAATTGTGCTCTGGGATTTTCCTAACGAATTTAAAAGAGAGAGGTGTAGAGAAAAATAAGAGATGCTGTATTACAAACCTAATCTAAGTACATACTCTTAGAAAATGGTAATCCATACATTTCAAATTTTACAAAGAAGAAGAAGAGGAAAAAGCAAAGCGAGAAGCAAGCAAAACAAGAAAATATTTGTATACTTACTTTTTCTTAGTTTTTGTTTGAAAATCCTTGTTTTTCCAAGTTTATCCACACACACACACACCCTCCCTAACACATAAGAAAGAGAGAGATGCACAGATTAGCACTGTATAATTACGTAAACTGCAGTAGATTATGCGAGTCTAATAAAACTTGTAACAATACGTTAGGTGATGTTAATGAGTCGGTAGTCAAATACTAACTGAAATTAGAGCGTACATTTCTTATTTGGGTATTGCCCGAGGCCATTGCAATGGGTTTCCTCAAGTCATGGCCTTGGACTATGAACTTGTCGTAGCATTGGGTTTTTCCCAAGGTCATGGTCTTGGACTTTGACCTCGAGTTTTTCCAAGGTCGTGGTCTATTTTATTCAGTTTGTTTGCATACTTCGACGAATTTACAATGGAGAATAAGATTTATCACCCCTTTAGTGCAATCGTAAGTGGACCAAGCGGATCTGGAAAGAGTTATTTTGTTGTAAATTTTCTTTAAAATGTAGGAAACATCTGCAACGTAGTGTTTGAAAGAATAGTATGGCATTACGCTGAATGGCAGGAATTGTACGACGATTTAAAGGGTATTGAGTTTCATCAGGGACTATCTGACATGTCTAATTTCGATGGTTTAAAACCAACACTGGTGATCATAGATGATCTAATGCGTGAATCAAATGGGTCCATGGTAGACATTTTTACAAAAGGTTGTCATCACCGAAATCTTAGTGTATTTTTCTTAACCCAAAACATATTCCATCAAGGAAAAGGCCAGAGAGATATTTCTTTAAACGCTCATTACATAATTCTATTTAAAAATCCTCGTGATCGTGCACAAATTAAGCATTTAACTCGACAAATTTTACCTGAAAATTCAAAGTTTTTAGAGGAAGCATATAATGATGCCACATCTAAACCACATGGGTATTTATTATTCGATTTAAAACAAAGTACACCGGATGTATTCCGATAGAGAACGTCGATTTTCGAAGAAGACGGCGCGTGTGTAGTATATACCCCAAAAAAGGGTATTAAAGGTTTAAATCTTGATAAATTAGGCATTATTAATTTATAATGTCTGCAAAGCTGACTAAACACGCAGAGTTGCTGCGTGCTCTCGCTAAATTGGGGCCTAAGGAGCGTCAAGCCTTAATAAAATGTTTGGATGATGATCAAATTCATTGCATATGTGAATGCATTTACAATACTTTAAAAGGTAAAGCTGAACTGACTGATAATCAGAAACGAAGTCTCAGTCGTCATAAGACTATCTTGAGACGTATGGTAAAGCCTCACGAAACAATAAGAAAGAAAAAACAGATCTTGGTGCAAAGCGGAGGAGCGTTCCTGCCATTTATATTAGGACCATTACTTGGTGGTATACTCGGAAGTTTGTTTAAATAATAATAATTATGGAGCACGGAAAGAAAATGTTACTCGTGCCTCAAGAAGTTATACAGCGGCTTAAAGCAAATGAGAATAGGAAAGAAGATGTTTTATCACGGATAGATGATGAAATGATGCAAATCTTAAAGTCGAATTTGTCTGATCATGATAAGTGGCAGCAGTATAATCAAGTTCTACAGAAATATTTACATTTTGCTGACCAGATGCGGAAGCCAGTAAGCATCTCAATTGATTCAAGGCCAGAGGGTATATCGGAGGTTGACATATTAACCACAATACCGCAAACTTTTAAGAAGAAAGCCGAAGGATTTTTACGGATGCTCACGGCCTCAAGTAACATCTGCTGGGATAACAAAGGAATTGTCACAATAAAAGGTGAGGTTATTCCTTCGTCGAATATTATCGATCTGGTCCATGATACAATAAGACCGAGGAAGACATCAAACCCCGAAGGTTGGGAGAAGTTTGCGGCTTATGTTAAAGAAATCAATGTACCTCAAGAATTCGTGGGCAACGTGAGAAGACGGAATCCCCCGCCTCACCGTACCAGCACGGTAAAACTTAATATAAATCGAGATAGAAGCTTTACCGATTACGATGCCGATTCCGAATTAATTTTACCACAACAACAACCACCCCAAAAACGCCGAAAAAGAACTAAACCTCTCAATATCTCTGAATCTCTGTGGGAAGCATTTGAACTTTAAGGATGGATATCATATATTACGATCCGGCCCATCCCGCAGGTTTCGCTGGAGCATCGTCCTTGCTAGCAGAAATAAAGAACAAATACCCCGCTGAAGATATCAAGACATGGCTGCAGAAACAAGAGGCTTACACTATGCACAAACCTGTTAAAAAGAAATTTGCCCGAAACAAGTACATTGTCAATAATATGTTTGAGCTCTTTCAAGCCGACCTATGTGATATGAGAACTTTAACTAAGTTTAATGACGGTTACAATTACATATTAACAGTCATAGACGTATTCAGTAAAAAAGCGTGGGCAAGACCCCTCAAGCAGAAAACAGCATCTTCCATAATTGAAGCATTTGCATCAATCTTTAACGAGTGTGGTAATACACCGGATAATATACAAACCGATAAAGGGAAAGAGTTTATTGCCGGTGATGTTCAAAAATTCTTTAGAAAGCATGAAATAAATTACTATGTAACTCATAATCCTGATGTAAAAGCGGCCGTCGTTGAGAGATGGAATCGGAGTTTAAAGTCCAGAATGTGGCGATGGTTTACATATAGTAATACGTATAGATATGTGGACGTTCTACAAGATCTTGTGTCTGCGTATAACAAGAGTTATCATTCTGCAATCAAGATGGCACCGATTGAGGTGACAGATGAAAACATTTTAATCGTTTGGCAGAATCTGTATGCGAAGGGATTTGGTAAAGAGGCTCGCAACCTAAATATAAGGTGGGACAACACGTGAGAATAGCCAGAAGCAAGCATCATTTTGAGAAGGGCTATGAGAGCAATTTCAGTCAAGAAGTGTTTAAAATCGTCAAAGTTATAAATCGTCGACCTCCAGTTTATAGAATAGTAGATTTGAATGGTGAAGATATAGAGGGAACTTTTTACGAAGAAGAGCTGCAAGTTGTTACACTTGATGAGAATACAGTGTTTAAAATTGATAAAATCTTAGAAGAGAAAGGTCGTGGGAAAAACAAAAAGTATTTGGTCAAGTGGAAAGGATATAGTGAAAAATTCAATTCTTGGATATCTGCATCAGAACTAAAAAAGATATGACGGAGGAATTTTATGCAACCTTATTGAGCAATAGTTCCATGGAATACTTCCCCAGCAATACGACGTCAAACTTTGTAACACAGCTACCAAAACGTACCTATAAGATTAAATGGGCGGTGGTGCGTTGGTGTTTCGGAAATTCAGTACCCGTGTTCGTTCGCGTCAATAAGTGAGATCGATAATTTAATATATTATAGAGTAACACCTCCGGAAGATTTATCTGCAAAAAGAGTGTTAAAAAACGCGGCGGACTTTTTTCGTGATGACTCCGAGCAAATAACGTATCACGCTAACGGCTGGCATGTAATTCGTTTTGCATCAGGGAACTACGATACTGTCGAGGATGTAGTTAGAGAAATGAATAAGCATGAGATTATAGGAAGATTGGTGACTTTAGAGTATTACACTCTTACTAAACGTGTATCAGTTCAAATTAAGACAGAAACACTCTCGATACTGGGTTTTTCAGAGCGTCTTGCTTTACAATTGGGATTTCGTCCCGAACAAAACATTGTTCAAGATCCAGTGCCACCCCATCCCGCCAGCATTTGGATTGCCCTCACAAATGTTCATCTATTGCGATATTGTAGAACCACAAATCGTGGGGAACGTTGTATCTCCACTAATGCGAATAGTTAATATAACTGCTGAAAATTACAATTACGGCTGTCATAAGGATGTTGTGTTCTCCCCAACGCACTATATACCTGTGATGATAAAAGAATTTGAAAATATTGAAATAAACATAAGGACTGATACTGGACAATCAATGCCATTCGAGTTTGGAACATTGAGCTTGAAGCTACATTTTAAGAAATGGGGTGTCCATACCAACAGTACTACGTAAATCAAGCCGGTACTGGCATTGGTACGATTTATAGGGGGTCACCGTATCAAAGAGGTCATGGGATAGGGAGCTGGTTAGGTGGAGTGTTTCGTAGTATTTTACCATTGTTTAAATCCGGAATGCGTGCAGTTGGGAAAGAAGCTTTACGAACCGGTACGAATGTACTAGGCGATATAATCGAGGATAAGCCTATCAAGGAAGCGTTTCAAGATCGAATTCACGAAGCAGGAAGAAATCTAAAACGCAAAGCCGATGAAAAAATTGATACATTGATGCAAGGATCTGGTTATAAAACACCTCACATACCCAAACTTGATCAGTTTAAAATTGCAAGTCGTAAGAAAACTACATCAAGAATTAAAAAACCTACAAAGCCCAAATTTAGTGACATATTTTCAAAGCAATAAACATGGCATTCCTTCACGCGCAGTCTTGTGAGTGCATAAAATCAGAGCTGGATTTGTTCGCACTGCCAGCTACTCAAACAAGTATTGAAAGTGGCGAATGGGTTTTTTACAAACCTTTATCCTCGTTAACCGATGATGCTCCGATAGAATTCGTAATCCCCGGAAGCGGGAATGATTATTTGGATTTAAGTCACACTATGCTCTATATCACGGCAAGAATTGTAAAACAAGATGATTCAATATTGGGTGTTGGAGATGTTGTAGGTCCAGCCAACAATTGGTTACACACGCTGTATAGCCAGGTGGAGATATGTTTAAATCAGAAATTGGTGTCGCCACCTAATAACACATATGCGTATCGTGCATATATTGAAACTTTGCTAAATTATGGTTTGGAAGCCAAAACATCACATCTGGGGTGTTCATTGTGGCACAACGATACACCAAAAAAAATGGACACATTAACAGCAGATAACGTAGGTTTCACTATACGTCAAGCCGCAGCAGCCGAGAGTAACATGATAGAGATGATTGGACATGTCCATGCCGATTTGTTTAACCAAGAAAAATTTCTCATAAACGGTGTTGAAATGAAAGTTAAATTTGTGAGATCCAGAGATTCGTTTAACTTAATGGCTGGTGCAGGTGCAACTTATAAAGTAAAAATTGTCGATGCCAATTTGCTGGTACGAAGAATGAAGATAAATCCTACAATTCTTCTCGCTCACACTAAAGCATTAGAAACGTCCGCCGCAAAATATCCTATTACTCGAACCGATGTAAAAGTGTTAACAATACCAACCGGAATACAGCGTAAATCTTTAGATAACGTCTTCCTTGGACAGTTGCCAAAACGTTGCATAATCGGTTTTGTATCCAATAAAGCGTTTAATGGCGATTACGCGTCTAACCCTTTCAATTTCCAAAACTACAAGATTAATTACATGTCCCTGTACATCGACGGACAGCAAATTCCTTCAAAGCCGTTGCAACCTGATTTCACACGGGCAGGATTATACGTACGGGCATATCATACTTTATTTTCGGGGACGGGTATTCATTTTTTGAATGAAGGAAATAACATATCGCGTTTAGATTACCCTCACGGCTACTGTTTAACTACCTTTGACCTGACACCTGATTTATCCGCTAACGCCACAACACATTGGAATTTAGTTAGGAATGGTTCATTGCGCATCGAAGTTGGATTTCAAGATGCGTTAACTGAAACAGTAAACTGCTTGGTATATGCGGAGTTCGACAATGTCATTGAAATCGATAAACACCGAAATGTTAACGCAGTTAAAAGAGAAATCTCAAAATTGCGTACATTGCATAGTCTTACGCACATCAATAAGTTCGAAAAGCAGAAAAATAAATTAAGCTGATATCCTACGTATGATTTCACTAATAATAATAAATAAAAGATCAGTTTATACGAGTCCTTAGCCAGTTTAAATGTTTTCTGCAATGGATGCATACGTCGATATGCAAGGTTTCCGAGGTGCTCTTAATGAGTTTATACCCAAAGAAATTTCGATTGTTTCCTCGGAGGGTCCGAAATGCACAACTCTGTTAATAAAACCCCCTCAAAATTATAGTATTACTGCAACTATGAAAAAAAGAGATTCGATATTTAGAGGATTATTATCATGGCTTAAAGTGGACCTCCGGTCACATTCGATATGAAAATTTTGAAGAGGAACTACGTACCCTGCTACAGCCATTTAGCAAGATCTATGTTAAAGGACTAGAGAAGCAGTACATTCTAAATTTCCTAAACAAACCTATAATAAATGCAGAGGATTGCGGATGCCCTTCTTTAAAGAAGCTGAAGAAAGAATTTGGAGGCATTAGGTGCTTGAATCATAACAGTGAAACTTTAATGTGCTCGCAAGAAAACGCTTTAATGCTATACGAATGGACCCAAATTAGCTCCACCGATGAATTCCCTAGAACTTCAACGAGCCCTGAATCACATACAGGATTCTGTAAGGCCTGGTGTTTTTGCAGCTGATAAATTACCAAAATTTATTCGTCGTCCATATGGACTTATAGTCAATACAGATGTTTCCACCAGACCTGGTCAACATTGGAACGCTATCTACATCGATAAAGATGGAATTGGCGAATTCTTTGATTCCTTCGGAAGGTCTCCATGTGGCCTTCATTTAAAATTTTTGAAAGCCAACTCTAGACGTTTTACATGTAACTATAAAATGTTACAACATCCCCTTTCGACTTTTTGTGGCCAATATTGCTTGATGTACTTAGTTTTTAAAATGAATAATGTTGCCACTAGCGATTTTGTAAACATGTTTAATGATAACTTAAAGTCTAACGACGACATCATCCGTTTATTGTATACTGCTACGTTTTGTAATATAAATTTGTTTACATTTAAGGGTTGATACTAATAAAGACAAGTTAAAATCGTTTAAAGATCGGTTGATTTTTTATAAAAAAGTATCCCTTTTGAGTGAGGTTCATAAATATGGTTTAAAGCATAGCGGTCGACTACGTGACCACGACCCTGGAAAAACTCGAGGTCAAAGTCCAAGACCACGACCTTGGAAAAACTCGAGGTCAAAGTCCAAGACCATGACCTTGGGGAGGTCAAAGTCCAAGACCATGACCTTGGGAAAAACCCAATGCTACGACAAGTTCATAGTCCAAGGCCATGACTTGAGGAAACCCATTGCAATGGCCTCGGGAAATACCCAAATAAGAAATGTACGCTCTAATTTCAGTTAGTATTTGACTACCGACTCATTAACATCACCTAACGTATTGTTACAAGTTTTATTAGACTCGCATAATCTACTGCAGTTTACGTAATTATACAGTGCTAATCTGTGCATCTCTCTCTTTCTTATGTGTTAGGGAGGGTGTGTGTGTGTGGATAAACTTGGAAAAACAAGGATTTTCAAACAAAAACTAAGAAAAAGTAAGTACACAAATATTTTCTTGTTTTGCTTGCTTCTCGCTTTGCTTTTTCCTCTTCTTCTTCTTTGTAAAATTTGAAATGTATGGATTACCATTTTCTAAGAGTATGTACTTAGATTAGGTTTGTAATACAGCATCTCTTATTTTTCTCTACACCTCTCTCTTTTAAATTCGCTAGGAAAATCCCAGAGCACAATTTTAGTCCAAACTCAAATCCCAGAATCCAAATCACACAATCTCAACTCAGCATCCAAGACCACGACCTTGATCCAGAATCCATAATCACAACCCTGCCCCAGGATCCAAGACCATGATCCTGTACCAAAGTCACGATCTTGGAAAAACCTCAAAACCATGATCTTGGGAAAAACCCCAAGACTACGACCTTGGGAAAACCCAAAGCCACGACATTGGGAAAAACCCAAAACCACGACCTTGGGGAAACCCAAGGTCACGACCTTGGGAAAACCCAAGGTCACGACCTTGGGAAAACCCAAAGCCACGACCTTGGGAAAAACCCAAGGCCACGACCTTGGGAAAATCCAAAGCCACGACCTTGGGAAAAACCCAAAGCCACGACCTTGGGAAAAACCCAAGGCCACGACCTTGGGAAAAACCCAAGGTCTCCGTGACGTCACAGAAAGTGGTGGGGGTAAGTGTCGGCATTCTACTACCACCTTTACTACTCGATGGTTGAACGCCGACTCTCTGCACTTTTTTACTCCGCATAAAAATTCCCCTCGCACCGTATAAATCGCATTCATATAAAAATGAAACAAAAGCACTTTAAAAATAGAATCTGTCCTTTGCACTTTATATCTAAGTTACATTGTAATCAAAAAATTCTTTCTAGGACGTAAAGAATGTGTAAATTTGGTTTTAAAAAACTCCAACCCATTACACTACATACAGGCGTGAAATTCCAGAAGATAAATTTGGTTCTGGCGCCCTTATTTTAGATTTCCGACCCCAAGTGTCCTATATCAAAATACTCCCCTAGGCACCCTCTATACGCTCCCAAACGGTGGCAGGTACTATAGGAATCACCCTGTAGGTAAGTAATAATACGGTGAACAATAATAATGAGTTCTTCGTAATGGAGAAAATAAATGGTTACTCCACCCCTAATAAAAATGACTAAATATGGTTCCCATTAAAGCCATCTCGTCGCATAGGTTTCCGAAATTAATGAAGACAAAAAAATTCAGCCAAGATGAGCTGAAGCATTCTATCACGGTTTAGGAATACCATTCCACTAATCAAATCCTTTACTGGAAATTCGACCCGCTGCATTTTGACCAACTGTAACCTTTCTCTGATCTGTAATGCCTCTACACTTAGAAATCTCAAAAATTCTGTCTGGAACCTTCAAAAGGGCATGCAAATAAACAATTCAAAATTGCGTACTAAAGACGTATAAATTATTTCGATATAAAACGATTCTACCGATAAGGGTCGAGCTTTTTTCCGTTTAAGCCGCTTTGTAGTAAATCCTGAGATTGCACTTATTTTTCTTCTTCTTATCAATGCAGTTGGACACAATCCCATTCTGGATTTAAGCTATGCATTGGATTTTCAACGTGATCGGATTCGGATGCTTCATTTTCTTTGTATAAACTTAGAACACAATTTTCTGTGTTTGGAATTGTCTTTCTCACCATTTAAAATATAATATTGTAGCGAATATTCTGGAAATCCCGTTACACATTGAGGCGCCATGTAAGTTATTGGCGATAAGAAACCAAGGGAAATATTATGATGTGTTTGTTTTAGTAGAATATTCGAGAGCGTTCGGAAGCCTTACAAAATCGATGAAATAATTCATCTAACGTTGTTATGACGAAACAATTCACAAATTCAAAGTAAATAAATTCAATTTAATACACTTGAACATCTAAATCAAGATTGGCACGTTTAAAATGTAATGAAATACGCGTGAAAATTGTAAAGCAGTGCGACCATAGCAAATTTCCTGTTTGACGGAAACCTACAGACGTACTTGTAACTTTAATGCATTCATTATTAATCAATAACAGCGAGAATAACAGGGTAATTATATGCCATTGATCTATACTTTTAGTATGGTAACTTGTTTACATTACCTATTATAGCTCATATTTGCAATTTTTAATTTAATGGTGTTGAAATTCTTTTCCAAGGCTACATTCACGATTGCATTTTTCATCTTGATTTGTATTATATAAAATTGATTTAACCTTCCTATGCCCTGGAATCGTAACGATGTTTGTTGTTTGTATTTTTTTAATTAAAAATTAAGAACTAGGAATTCTACTACCTACATAGCAGGTTTAATGTTATTTTTTTAACACACATTTGTTTGGCATCCCACCCTGCAGTGGTGGACGGGTTTGATTCGTGGATAGTAATTAATAGTTTTCGTTCAAAAAAGGCAACTGAAAAAGGACCGTATGGTAAACTAGTGCTCTAGAAAACTACTGTTTTGCAACCCAAAACATGTTTGTCTAGCGTTATTAGTCGCTATTCTTGTATTGGGTAGTAGTCGTAGTAGTACGGAGTTACATCACTATGTAAAAATGGGCGTTCAAGACAAACAAGTACTAACGTAAATGAATGCGTATTTGCGAAAGGTCAAGGTTACAAGTTACAATTTTAGACCTTTAATCTTTAATCAATCGAATGTGACTTATCATTCAAGGCGACAAAAACATGTAGCGAAAGGTTCTTATTACATTAGTCCTTTAGCAAGAACTCTTGTTTTTACGTTATGCTCAATAAAATCCTTATTCTCTGCACAAGGCCCAAGTTCCAAAATATAAATTGCGCCACCCTCACAAAAAGAGATCAAAAGAAACTTGCTACAGGCATGAAACGATCTCATTGGAATTTATATCTTTAAGGAGAGTGAATTTTTTACATGAGTTGGTTAGAAACTTTAATCTAACAAAACCGAATAGGAAGCATGATAACAATCTGCTTTCAGGTCATTGAGACCGAAGGAAGGGAAGTGATCTCCGCCTTGAACTATTTTATAAATCGTACATTGGAATCCTTTGAAAAGGGAGAACACTCCGTTGCCTCTTTCCTAGACTTATCAAAAGCCTTTGATCGAGTATCCCACGACATCCTGGTGAAAGAGTAGAAGAATACTGACAACTTCAAGACTTCAGCGATCATATCTAAAAAACAGAATGAAGAAACCTCCCAGAAATCAATTTATGTTTATGTATAGTAGACAAGTTTAGTGAAATAAAGCCACGTCGTCGATATTTTTGGGGGATATTTTGAGAACTAAAAAGATACGAGTCAAGATATATAGAGACTGGTAGGATGACTCGCCGCCATTATGTAAGACAGAATGCGGCGCCAGTTAAAATCGATCCCTAGATGTCGCCACCCGTCTCATTGTACTTCACTTAAACTGTCATTTATTCAAACGCGACATTTAAATTTGAATTAAATG